CACACACACACACACACACACACACACACATATATATATATATATATATATATATATATATATTACCATTTAAAGTCACCTTGAAATCATATGACCATTTTCTTTGTGATTTTATGGTGACTGACTGCATGCTACTACATGTTTGGCCTGTTTACACCTGGCTTTAAGATGCATTTTGGTCGATTGGATGACAAATAGACAAGGTAGACATTCCCATTTACACCTGATGTTTTAATCTGTCTTTTTTTGTTCTCTTTTGACCACTTCTGTGCTCATCTTTTCAAAGGGGTCTATGGGTTGGTAAATGCATCGGCTTTTTCAGATCTTTCGATCCAATGGATAATCTCAGGCAATTTACAAAGACTTCAAAATTTGACAACCAAAAAAGATAAGGAGAGCAGCAGCTTTTGTTTCTGCTTAAATAGCTGCAAAACCTCACCAAACCCAGTGGATGCATATTAGAAGTCAGGACTAGTGGAAAACATTGTGCTTGGTATGTATTTTCATCTTCAAACCTAACTTACTTTTTCAGCTGGCAAAGTTTAAATCCTGTCTGGAAGGTGTGCTTCCCATAATGTTTATGCATTAGGTCAGTAGGCCCAGAGGAGGTGGTCTTTTGTGGGTATTTGAATGCATTTGACCACATAAGCATTTCCATTATGAAAGCAATCTGGTTTACTGCATTTTCAGCTACCTCTGGAAGTGCTTGCATCTTAATACCAGGTGTAAACGGGGCCTTTGATAGTTAATGCATTAATTAACAGTTAGGGATAACCTAAATCAAATATGCTCAAAATAAGAATAAAGAACAGTTACTCTGACTTTGAATTAAACATGAATGATTTAATATTGTCATGATTTAAGGTTTTGCCATCTGCAGCATTGTGACAAATAATTGGATTGTACATGTATATTAAAGTAATAAGCCACAAGAAGTCATAGTTTACAGTGAAAAAACAGCTAAGGGGATTGCACACTCCACTCCACATCATGCCTAACAACAGCCCTTTGCTGTTCTAAAATCACAGTAAAAACCATGGGGCTTATTGTTTTTATAAAACAGTTAGGCAAGATTTCAGAAAATAACCACACAGCAACAAAAATCTAATACATGTGTTGATAAATAATATTTTTTCCACCATGTAATGTACTGTAGTTCTTCAGCAATTTTTAGCAGAATGGTTGCCAAGCAACACTCAGACATAGCAGTGCAGCAACTGCAGTGGCACAGTTATACTGATGTAATGAGGTCACAGGTGTGTATTTATAGATTATTTTACAGTGTCTTTGATCGTGGATCAGCCAATCATAATCAAGGACTGGAACTATTTGTTTAATAATTTGCCAATTTGAGAAAAAAAAAAAAAAAAAAAAAAAA